TCTGCTCCCACTGGAATTCATGGAGGTGCCACAGGTTTCAGTGGGAGGAGAGCTAAATCAATATGGAGTGCTTTGGAAAAATCCAGCCCAGAATGGATCCTGGCAGCGTGAGTAGATAGGGATTGGAGGTGATGCTGAAATTGTCACGTAGAAATTTTCCATGCTGGCTAGCAGAATCCTCTCCATTCCCCTTGGTTTCGAGCTAATGGAAAGCAGTGTGTGGCAAAGCATGACTTGAGGGGAAGGGAAAGTCAGTGTAGAAAGAAAGAGGATCCTAATTTCCTCCCTCCCTCCTCTGTGCCTTTTTTCAGGACAAAAACTTTTACTTCCCTTCCACCTGAGGCTCCCTCTTAACTCTTCAGGAACTTCGTGGTCGATAGCAAGCAACAGTGCACATTGTGCATAATACTCGTTCTGGATGGGACTCTCCTGAGGTGGGCTGAGCAGATCGGTGTTCTGTTTCCTCCAAAATGAAAGGCATGCTCCTGGCAGATGCTCAGGTGGGGGACAAGAAGGGGAAGGGGTCACATCCCCTCTGCCAGGTTCCGTAGCTCACATGAGGATAGGGAGCAGAGGCTGCTGTGTCAGGTCCAGCCTCCTCTCATGGAAAAATGTTACTTGGAGGGGAACTCTGGAGGCCCTTAGTGCAATCTTCTGCCTTGGGCAGGGAGGCGCAGAGGTACCTTCCCAGCCCTACAGCTTGGGAGGAAGAGCAGAGCAATCGCCGGCACAGCTGCGGCAGAACGTGCAGCCCAAAGACCTCCACGGGGAGTACGTATCGGTGAGTCAGTGGTCTTGAAGGAACTCTGACATGGCTGACATCCTGCATTTCTTCAGTTCACATCATTCTTTCCCCAGCAGATAGCAAAAGCTCTTATTAATGCAGGTTGCCACAGGGTAATCCCGTTTCAACACATGGTCTCTTTTTGGTATGTGGGCACTCAAGTGGTAAAGGTTGGTGGGGATGGTGTGGTGTTGAGGGTCAAGCTCTTTCACAGCTTGGTGTGCAGACACAGCCTGAGCCAGCTGTGGAGCTGGTGCCCTAGGAGGGTCCAGATTTTCTGGTTCTCCTGCTGTGTGAGGGTATTCCTGCAGGTGAATGCAGTAGCCCAGCTGTTGGCATTCTCCCAAAGAACGCTGTTCCTCTCTGACAAGCTGACATTGTCACTCATTGGGAAGCCTTCAGCAAATGGCTGATTTTCCTCACTCATGCTCAGTTATTCTGCTTCTCTTTTGGACACATCACTTAGCTTCCCAAGGTAAATTTCAGATCTTCTGAGAGAAAAAGCTATATAAATACCAAATAATGATCTCAGAAGTGAGCGGTAGCCTCTGTGACACACAGCAATTCACCTCTTCTTTGCTTGAATGGCTCCTTAATAGCTCCCTTGGCCTGCTTGCTGTTAGCAGAGCCACCAGCAAGTACAAACTACCCTTCAAAGTGGGTGGCATTATTAAAAGAACAATACTGTAGTCTCTCCTAGAGGCAGCAGTGGGGTTTTTAAGTTTGCTGTGCACTTTGAAGGCATGCACTGTGGTGTAATTGCTGGCAAGATAAGGCCTGTGACATGGTCTAATGGGGTCTGTCACCTTTCCTTTTGAGAAGTTAGGAAATAGTGCCAAAGCCAGGAGCTCTCTGCTGCCAACCTCAGCTTCAAACCCCATGAGGGTAAGGATCACTGTGAGCTAACAGGTCATGACAACCACTTGGGCGCCTCTAGCATTTTAGGACTTCTCTTAGTCAGGAATTTATTTGAGTGTGTCAGTTGCCACTGACTAGCTGAATATTTGTCATGACTGCCAGTTTTGTCTCTTGGATGGAAATGATCTGTCCAGCTGTGACGGTTTTTTTCCCAAGGAATGTTAGTGCTCACTTTGAATAGTTTTAAACATTGGCTAATTTTTCACTGAATAGCATCCCAACATAAAAGTCTCTATTCATATCAAATGTCTTTCTAGCTGAAATGTGTGTAACTCTAGTTCTGTAGTAACTTCATTCTCATTAACACAGCAGCAGTCTAAGGGAACCAGCAGAATTCAGTTCTACCATGTCAGCAATTTTATTTTTTTTAGCAAGGAAATGGCTGGCTGAAAAAGGACTAACTTTTTTTTTTTTTTTTTTTCTTTAAAGGGTCTGTATGGCTGTTAAAAAGTATTGGTGCCATTTGGTATAAAATTTAATCAGTTCCAGACTCTGCTGCACTCAGAAATTTGAATCGTGGTGGTTTCTGTATTTTGAGGGCTCTCACCTAAACCGCAGCTCTTGTAACAAGTACATGGCTACATCCATGGTGTCCAATCCCTCCTCTTAACGATGTTAAGAAAATGTTTGTTTAACTATGAATCAAAATTGTATTCCTAAGCCTTGCAGCTTTTCAGGTGACATGACAGAACCAGCCTTGCTGCACTGGGGCAAAGTAGGTGGGCTCCAGAGGCTGAGGTCAGATGGGCTGAATTTCACTTAATTCCTTCAATTGTGGTTCCTTTGTTAAAGCATTTCTGAAGGCCTGGAGCCAGGCAGCAGAGAACACTAAGCACTGGGATCGAAGCGGAGTTTAGGCTGTTTGGTCTGCTTTTGGCTCCCTGTGTGTGTGTTTTAAAACACATTAAAGGTAAGAAGAGGCAAAAGGGAAAGGCAGAAGCATGCACAAAGGACGTTGTTTGCTTATATAGTGTCTGTGATAGAAGAGTGCAGCTGTGATGAGGACATAGCTATTGAACCAGAAGAATGTTTTCAAGCTTCATTCAGGGCTTGGGTCAACTGCTGCCCTCTTGAATCAGGCAGGGGAGATGGATGGTGGCTGGACACACCAAAACCTCTTCTGTGACTCGCTGGTAACAGAAGTTGATAGGCCAAGAGGCCACTTAGGCTTAGGTCTGCTGGTTGGATTGTCTTCTGTGGAACCAGAACCAGCGTGAGCCAGCGTATGCCATCTCTCTGAACCCACTGCTAGCCTTTAACCTCAGGACAAATTTCAGCCATGTGTGTGTAAGGCAAACCAGATGAAATGGCCAGTACAACCTGAGGTCTACGAACTTTGCCGAACAACCGGAGGCAAGCGACCCAACTAACCATCGCTGCTGAAAGCCAGGCCACCATTTGGTTTGGCGGCAGTTGGGTCAATGCCTCTGCATCTGCCAGCCTGTGCTGGCACCCGCAGCTGCAGACAGACGCTGCCTCTGCTTGTGGCAGAGATGCAAGGAGCTGGAGTTAGTCTGCTGAGGAGAGTTACGAGGAAAGGTTGTAGGAATTCAGGCTTCATTTGAATTTTGTTGCTCATGGAACAGCTTGAGTTTGGGTTGGTCTTTTTGTCTGAAATAACACAAAGTAAGGGGTTCAGAGTGTATATTGTCTGAGAATGGCAAAATCCCAGGCTATTCTAAACTCGTTGTTTTAAAAATATGTAATAAATCAGCAAGGAGCCAATCTTGTGGCTCAGAATTACATGTTCAATACAGTGCTTGTCCCCAGGCAAAGACTTCTAAGGGTACTGAAGTTTGAGTGTTATTTCCTCAGCTGTCACACTGGTGTACTCCCAGGAAAAGCAGACTGGTACTGCCATTTTAACTTCCTAGCTGGGGAAGGACGGAAGGAGCACTGGGATGTCGAAAATTGGAGGCTGTAGTGCTGATTGCAATGGCAGCTTTGGGGCCTAGGCCGCCTTTCAGAGGTGAACACAGCGGGGTTCTGGAGGTGGGAGTGGGGGGAGCACTGTCTGGTCTATGGATTTTCATGATGGCTGAAAGACCAGAGCTCACCTTGAATCCAGTGAAAGGTTGTAACCGTGATTTTGGCTTTTTATTAGGAGTGTAGGATTAACCTTAAGCAGGACTACTAAGAGCTCTTTAGTTGCAGAATTCCCTGGTAAGACCAGACCTTCCTTCCTTCTTCCTTAACCACAGCAGGTAAGCAATAATTCATCTTTTTTTTGTAATTACAGACCAGCTCTGGTGTTTGTAGTCTACCTCTTTTGACTGAGAAGAGCGACTGGCACTCTACCCCTATCCTGCATAGTTCTAGAAAAGTCAAGGGAGTTGGACACTTTACAGTCTTTTCCTTAAAGATCCCTCCCCCCAGTTTTAGTCACAGATTTTTCTTGCATTTTAATGTGCAACCAGATCTTGAACATACAATGGCTTCACTAGTCCCAGTGTCCCATTCCAGCTGACAGAGAGGAGGGCCCTGGGAAGGACAGATGCTTCTGCCCGTGACCAGGCACGTGGGCTCTAACGAGAGCGCCCGCGTGTGCAGTACTGACAGGAACACAACTTCTGGTGTTTCTGCTGCAGCGGCTGACCTACATATCGGAAAAGAAATTTGATTCACAACCAAAACAAGTATTTCTTTTTTTGGTGAAATGAGGAATAAAAAATAATTTTTGGACATTTGGACCCAATCTGACTCACTTTTTAAAGTCTCATGTTATCCCTCTCCTTTTAATGCAGGGCAGGTCTAAAAGACACAGCAAAAATGTTTCATTTGGAAAATACCAAAAGGACCTGTTTGGGGATTTCCAAAGCAAACTCCACTCTGGAGAAGGTCAAAGTGAAACATCTGTCAGTCTCCTCATCTCTTTCTCCCCTCCCACTGAGAAACAGAGCTGAGGGGAAGGTACAGTTCATTAAGAAAAGGAAATTCTCCCCTTTCTCTTTAGTATTTTCTGAAAACCAGGCCATCATGCTGAAGAGCCTTATTTGCAGATTTAGTGGGAAACATGCCTAAACCAGAAAGAAAAATTCCATGGGAATCAGCTTCCAAGTCAAACAGTTTCTGTAGGTCTGTGTTTGAAATCTTCCCTCTAGAAGCCTAACTTCAGGCATTATTAACTAATTCAGATTCTGGTCTTATTAAAACAGCATGAGAAGGAAAAACCAGCCAGACAAATCCCCATAACTATTGTAATGTAAATTAATTCTAGTACTGTAAACAGGGAAGGGGCTGATTCTTGTAACGGAACACCAGTAAAAGAAAAAAAAATGCCTACAATTAGTAAATAGCTTTTTTCTAAAAAAAAAGGTGATTTTATTGAGTTTTAATATACAGCTTTAATATGTTAAGGTAATCATACAAGATCTCTCTTGTGTTCAATTTACACATCACAATACAGACGTGAGCTAAAATCTTTTGTTTTAATGTACAAAAGGAATCCAATGTTGTCCACTAGCAGCTTTGAACTTGGCAAGAAAGGTTCTAAAGACTTTTAAGTGCAGTAACAACCATACAGAATACAAAATGAATATAAGGACTTTTCGCCAAGGTATATAAACATTTGAAAACAAATGGTGCCTGCTCCACAGGGCAGACAACTAGCGAATTAAAAAAAAGTCACTGACCAATGTTCCAGAGAAGGAACATTACCCTGTGTAACAGTTCTTATAAAATGGCCTAAGAATATCTGTATCATAGAATTTGTATTGCTCAGAAAAAAGGTCTGAAAAGAAACAGTAGGCAAGGAACTGAACAATCAAAAAATGACATAGTAATATAAAATATTTCCATCACTATTTAAATGCCAAATTAATCAAGCAATAGTAAAAAAAAACAAAAACAAAAACCAACAAACCAAAAAACCAAAGCTCTTCTGTTTAAAATAACAGCACTGTTTTTGCTTCTCTTCAAAGATTTTTTTTTTTCTTATGAACACACTATAGACTTGATTGTTCCTTTCATAGAGATTAATGTGTCCATTTGGTCTGTCACTTCTGAGAAGCTGATACACAATCAGCCCATCATGTCTCACCTTTGACACATTTTAATGCTTTCTCCCCTTACATTTGCTACTCCGGTGCCTTCTCTTCTCAAGTTAAATACTTTTCTTCCTTTTCTTTATACAGTGCAGAGTATATGGGCTTAGGATATGGAGGTTTTCCTCTACTCCAGTTCACTGTCTAGTTCTGAGTTCAGTGGTGTGCAGTAGTTTGGCTTGTCTGAAGGGACGTACCCCGGTAGACACAAACACTTGTACGAACCTTCCGTGTTAATGCACTTGGCGTTCTTGCAGAGAGACATCCTGTTGTTCAGCTCACTGCACTCGTTCACATCTGCAAAAGGGGACATCAAAAGACAGGTACTGAAGTCTGGTGGGGAGGTAAAACTCATCTATTTCCAGCATTGTCAGGAGTAGCATGTGCTCTGTGAATACACCGAGAACTTTATTTTCAGTTCAGATCAGGTGGAATTAGCCTGGGTCAAGAGCTGTCACATATGAGCTGGGAAGAGGGGGAAGTTACCACAGGGAATCAATAGTGTGTTACATGGCCTTAAACTGTTAGATTACCAAGACCGATTCACTGCAAGCCGCAAAACAAAAATGGGATAACCACTTACAGGTTTTTATCTGAGGACAGTAAAGTGGCTTATAATACAGCAGCTCCAAGTTCTTAGAATAATATCTGTATTTTAAAAAATCGAATACTTCAGGAGCTGCTGGTGTTGTCAGCTTAGTAGTTGTGAACAGCAAACTGCCTGCACGCACTATTGTGCAGCATCAGCCTGAAATACAGAGGAGCTCCCTCTTTTCTCACTAAGGAGGCCAGCTTGCCACTAAGTCCTAAAGATTACATGGCACGTGGGCAGGTACACCTGGGAGACCTCCGCTGTGGGTTAGGAAGCATAATGCTCAGCAAGGCCAGTGCAGGCCTCGAATTGAAAGACCCATGCATGGTCTCTACTGGGCTTCTGCACTGAGGGATGTTGTTTCGCTTCACTTCTCACTGATGCTTGCTGTTCCCCTGTTTTGTTGGTTTAATTAGATATCCTGGTTAGTAGTTGGGCAGATTTATACTAGTTTGACAGTAAGAGGAGTAGTTGAGTCTGTTGACAGCTGAAATCAGTGAGAATCAGGGGCTGACCCCCACCAAGTGGTTATCTGCATGTTTAGGTAATTCAGCTGCTCTAGAAATCTGCTCCTAAAATTACTCTTCTACTCTGGATCCAGTTCCATACTCTTAGCTCACTACAGCCTTTGAAAAACATTTGTTCCATACATTAGTGCTACATTATTGATCTAAGCTTCATACACAAATGTGTCTCTCATTTCTAGGCTCTTAACTGAACACAGCTGTAATGACCAAGATGAACACCAACGTAGTTACTTCTGTAACGATATTTACTGGCCTTTGCAAGAAACCAAACAAAGCCTGTGTCTTTAATACAATTCAGGTGGCCGTCTGTAACCCCTTTGTTCCAAGCCCCTCCTTAGGTCAGGTAACGGAGCAAGCTGACAGCAAGCAGAAGGAGATGAAGCAGTGTGCTGTCCTCACCCACACACGTCATTTTGGCCATGTCCAGGTGATAACCGTCAAAGCAGTCACAGGTGTAGCCTTCCTGGACTCTGACGCATCGGCCATTTTCACATCCGTTCAGAATACCACACTCCTCTGCTTGTAACTCCTCAAAGCTGTTCAAGAAGCCTGGGTGGAGAAAGAGTTGCAAACAAGTAAGTTACAGGGCTTTCAATCGGTATAGTCTAATGTACAGTGAGGGTCTGAAATTCTCTCAGAAGTTTACTGGAATGTGACTTGACTTTGCAGAAAATAGGTCAGCTTTAGCAGATCTGCACCATCTGGAGTTTTAAATGCGCTAGGAAAGTGCTGTGATATGTTTCAAGAGGAAAACTGAGTAACTGTGAACTCTTCATTTTTTAATTTATGTTAAAAATCTGTGATTTTTTGGTAAAGGAAACAGCATAATTTGACAATACATGTTTTAAAGGATAAATCAGTTTTTTCTAAATAGCACCTTTTATTTGAATTGTTATGTGTATCAACCTTTATGGAAACAAAGATAAGAACTGGTAGTTTGGGGTAAAAGTTCCTTAAAACTGCATTCTAGTAAAATAAGGTGTGTGCAGGGGGGAAGAGACACATTCTGATTTATCTAGAAGAAAACATATTATTAAAAGAATAAATCTCAACTGCCTTAGGGAAAGTCAGAAGAAATCAGAGACTGCTTTCCTGTTGTGGTTTTGGTTAACAACCCTTTGGCTGGTACTTCAGCAACTGGTGCCAGTACAAATACCTACAATCTACCAATTGCTCTGTGTCATAATTCTAGATGGTGAGTAGTTAAAGCTAAAGAGTTGTCTTTGTATTCAGTGGTCTGTGCAATGCTTTTTGTGCTCCCTGCCTTAGGGCTTTTTTGACAGTTATGCTTTTATGTATAAAGAAGGATTTATACTTAAAAATTATTTGACGTTTTTACACGTTCAGAGATCCTCTCTAGGCTGGCTTCTCTTGCTCCTGTTAGTCCTGCATGAGTTTTTCCACTAGGTTTCTCTTTGTGGAGCAGTGATGTAACAGGACTGCAGATGGCAGCCCATCTCATCAAAAAGACTTTTGAGGAAAAATTAGAGAACATTTGAGAGTCGTCGGTTACCAGCATAATGAATATATAGCATAGAAATGGAGGGGAAACTGGAGCTGGAGTGGAACACAGTAGGATACATCTCCCCATCTGCCCATAACATATAGTTAATACAGTGACTCCACAAACCAACCGTTGCCTTATCTGAAACCCGTTTACTGATGTATATTGTTGCAACAGTTGTGGTATGTAGATGTGCAAAGCTACCTGGGAATATGGATTCCTCCCTTTCCTTGTGCTTGTTCTCCTGTCTTTTTATATCTACTCCATCCTGTCTCGGTTCTTGAGGCTCTCTTTTCTCTTGTCCTGCTTTGCTTTTCCTACTCCTCTGCCCTTCCTGTATCATCCTCTGTTTCACTGCCGTACTGTCATTGCCACCCCCGCCCTCTTTGACTACATACGCGGTTTCTGTCCTGGATTTTCTCTGCTGGGATTCTCAATAAAGATCACGCTGGTCAGTCATACACTGAATAAATTCTGGAGACGCTCAACACGTAATGTGACATAAGTACTTGCTGACATGCCACATCTCAAGAACATATATGAGATAGGATGTATACAAGTGCACGTTAAGGGGGAAACACTGCTGTCTTTTCCAGCCACGCCTCAGTGCAGTAGGACTGAGGACACTGAGCACACTGTGGTGATGCAGGGTAACAGTGTAGGGGGAAACTTGATGGAGTTTCATTGTGTTCCCAAGTCTAACAGGGCTTGCAGAGGGCTCACGGGGGCGCTTTGAAGTGAAGACCTTGGCTGATTTAGAAAACCAACAGTGCCAAGAACGGGAAAGGCGCTGTGCCCACTCCCCCCCGGCCCACAATACATGGGTATTTTTTAAATAAAGAAAAGGCATCATTTATTTGACATACAGTGTATATGACATATATAGACATATGTATTTTTTCTTACCCTCTCTCTCTCATAAATACAGTATGCTGTAATTTTAACTAGCTAAATCCATAGTATTTACTGTGCACAGCACATTCTACTTCACAAAATACTCTACTTCAAAACAGCTGGATGGGACCTGGGTTGTAATTCTGGTATGTGTAGCTGGTTCTGTAGAAGCTGACTGCACACAGGTGACAAATACCACACTGAAGTACACAGCCTGGCCACAGGTATTGTCGTATTCCTCATACAGACCCCAGCAGGACTGTGACCTTGAATTTATCGATGCCCTAAATATGTGGCAACTGGCTCTGTCAGGAAATATGCCTCTGATCAGAACAGTCACACGGCTGTGTGTTTTGGGGTTTCTTACGCATTTGCTTGCCACTGTGTCTGATTCAGTGACAGGGTGAGAACAAGAGACATGAGCTCATAAGCCTCTGGCCCTGAGACAGTGGACTCAGCTGTAGATTCAAAACTGAACAATAAATACAGTTTTACTGTATTTATTCACCACTGCCTGTAACTTGTGCAGTGCTTCTTTCCCACTCGGTGTTTTATCTATCACGTTGGTTACCCAGTCATCTTTCCTGGGCTTTTCATTGTGTTTGTTAGTTTTCATCTGTGTGACATTTCAATAAAACATCAACACTTAGTACTGTTGAATTAAAATCATCTGGATATAAAGAAGTAATTCCGTGTAGAGCTAGAAGGTCCTTTAGATGCTACATAGAAATGAACTCATTATCCTGATTTGTGTAGTTCTGTGTAAATGCATGAAGTGCGATGTGTGCATGAAGTGCGATGTGTGCAAGAAGTGCCTATCACCCTTCGAATATTGTGCTGGAATCCTCCTGCCCTGTTCTGACCTGTTGCCATTACTTTAAAAATAACTCCTTGTCCAGGAGAAGCACTTTGGGAAAGAGCGTAGTGGTGGCTTGGTGGACACATGTATAAATACAGCACGGGAAGTTACCAGTTCCTTCTGATGCCTCCACTTTTCTTCTCTAAAACTGTGACAAAATACATTGGACCTGTACAGGGCTGACTTTGAGGAAGATGCTGAGATCTGTAAGCATTCCTCTCCCACAAGTCTGAACCATGAGCTGGGCCAGACCCGCGAAGAGCCCTGATGTTCCTGAAGTACAACTGAGCTGCTCTGTAGAAGCCCTCCCACCCGCCTGGCAGGCCATTCCATCGAGCCTGAAGGCTATACGCATGCAGACTGATCATTACTGCGCTGTACATCTGCTCTGTCGAGTGAGAATGACTCGCATGCTCTCCATTTCCCCCTTATAAATTCTGCTGGAAAATTATGGAAAGCTGCCGTGAAGGGTTTTTCTTTTCCCTTTTAAACTAAACGCATTCTGAAGAAATCTGTCCCATGCTCCAAAGGAAAATTAATTTGTGAGAAGGAAAACAGGCAACCCTTTTGACCTTTAGCTGTAAATCTGTTAGTAAATACAAATTTAGTACACTTGGCACAAACTGTTTCACTGTATTAAAAATTAATACTGGACTCTTACACAACACTGGCTCTTGAACCAGAACACCTGACTGAAAGCTAGTGTCATAGGAATAACCAAAACATAAATAGGCCACATTACTCAGAAGCAAACAAGAATGAAGCCAGCTACAGGGAAATAATCCAAGTTACAACCCTCATTTCAAGTACTTTACATAACAGAGAGACTTGCTTACGGTCTTCGACAAAGTATGGATTAGATTCTGGAGTGTAATGCTCCTCGAAGTCAACCAAAGCGTCCTGTCCATATGGCCGCCGAGATCCTGGAACAGGAATGTTGCACAGCTGGGCATAATCCTCTGAGGGGAGAAGGAAAAGAGGATATAAAACTAATCACACTTGTAACACAGGCTGCATTACATTAGTCCCAGTGCGCTGTGGTTCATATTAGCTGGAAATAAACTTATCTTCCTAGAAACACCATAAATCTGCAATTTCCACAAAGATTCTCTCTTCAAGAAGAATGTCATTAAAATGTTAATGAGCCAAATACAGACTATTAAGTCATCATAGGGATAACACCAGGGATAGATTTGAGTCAATAACTGTACAAAAAGTTATGGGTCAGGTTCTTCTGGCGTGCGCGGGAAGCAAGAGCAGAGGGAAGCTGTGCATGCCGCTGCGAATGCACCCCTCTGCAGGGCCATCGATGGCTGCACTCCTCATTCGGGTGGACAAGGGCTAACCCTGACCACCGGGGCTGCCAGCAGAAGCCACCCCAAAGGAAGCAGACTGGAGCAGGTGGGGCCCTGTTTCTGGCACTGTCAGCCAACCTGCAGAAATCACAGAACAAAAAATCCTTCTACAATAGCCCACAGCCATCTGCAAACTGTATCTTCAAACCACGGGCTCAAGCATGAGTGCTGTTCAGAGCCTCCTTGGCTGCAGACCTTGAAGGGCAAGGGGAAATGCCCTTCAAGGCATCTGATTTTCTGCCTTCCTCCCATGGCTAGTCTACGCAAGTCGAAGCAGACCAAAGCAACTCCTCATTTTCGGTGTCAGAGTGCACGTCTGAAATGCTGACGTGGAGTCTGATTTTTTATTTGATTTATTGTGTCACCTCTGTTTCCATTACCGTTTACCAAAAGATATACAAGAACATTTATTTGAAAATAGAAATGTTGTTAAAACACAGCAATCCAGGTGCTCCTTTACTGTTGCTACAGACTATTTAGCATCTGTTTCTGTGAAGATTGCCTGGTGTTCTGAGAATCGGGCAGAGTAAGGACGGGAAAGAAAACCACCAAAAGAGAAAGAGGAAAAAAAGCCCTAAGCAGATGCAAAATCCAAGAATTGCAGATGGTTACAGAGCCAGAAACCTCATGCTGTGTAGAACTGTCCCAGACAGCAAATAGCTGGATAAATCCAGACTGCCTCTAGACAGTGCAGAGCACAGCCCCACTTGGTGCCCAGCATTGTGATTTTATTTGCACAAGTAGTATCTCCTTCACCTGGAATGGTTTTATTTTGTGCTGAAAACAACATGGTGTTCAAAAAGTCTGTTTGAATTCTGCGGTCAACAGCTTGGCTCTTTGAGAGCACAAGCCTGTACAGCACAGGCGAAGCTCGCCGGTGCACATCCAGCACTGGCACGAGTGCCAGTCTGAGCCTGCAGATCGAACTCCCCAGAGAACTTACACTGGAAATCTCAGCGCCTTCTCCTTCAACTGCAAGGTGATTCCTCCAGAATAGTTATACACAGTAATAACTGTATTCAAACCCTCCTCTCCCAGATGAAAAAGTACACTGCCCAGGAGAGACACGGCACACGGAACAAAGCCAGCAGAAGAAAGCGAGTAACATACAGCCAATGTAACTTACATCCCTTAATGCACAGCTTCCCCTTGCGGTACTGTAAGCACAGTTTGAAGAGCTGCCAGAGGACCAGAAACACCCTGTCCTTCCCCCCCCCCCATCGAACCCCAGGTAACACCCCCGTATGGGGACAGCCAGGTTATCGTCTCAGACCGACTCCCTTGCTTTGCGCTGAGCTGCTCATTATGCCCAAGGGCTTGGATACGTCCAGAGAAAAGCAGGGCAGAAGTGTAAAAGCACTTTCTCACAGATGCACACAAACGTTCTTGGCAAAGGAAATCTACGCTCCACTGCAAAATACTCATTCATCTGGCCTGTGTGGAAGGAAGCACCGCACAAAACCAGTCAGTGCATGGCCAGGGGACCAGGCACGCAGGTCATGAACGGGATCTGACGGACAGGATCAGACAGAACCTGGACACTGCCTTCTCAGAGTGCTGGGCTCGTTTCGCACTCCGTGGTACCAGCAGCAGAAGCGCTGTTGTTCTGCTTGAGTGCAGCAGCCGGAACATCTGACAGTCCACAGAGCTGGAGCTCTCATGTACATGAGAGCTGGGCAGTTTGAAGGCTGCGCAAGTCTACTTTATATTGCACGTTTGCCAACGCAAAGCTGTTTATTATCTAAAGAAGAATAAAGAAATGTTGACAATAGAAACTTGTTTCCTGCCACACTGGTCCTTCGCCAGTCAAGTCCCAGATGCCTGCATTTCTAGGTCTCATTATAAGTAAATTAGTGGGTACAAAACAAAGAGCTGGTTTAGGGCGTACTGTAAACTTGGTGTTTGTTTACATTCTGCAAAGATCACGAGAACTGGCGTTCTGAAATAAGGTAATCTAGAGACTTGGATGCCTGAGAAAAATGAACCCATCAGAGTCCCCCTCTGGAGGACAGGACAAGTTACGGCAAGACAGATACGTACGTCCCATTTCTGTTGTTTTAAACTTTTCCCCTTGCTACACTATGTTCCTACAGTTCAAATTAGTGTATTTTGGGTCACTGTGCTGTGTGCGCAGAAAGTTGCAGCAAGTCTACAAATGAGAGAACAGCATGATATTGCCCCAGGGAGATGGCAGTAGGAGCCATTGATCAAGAAGGCAGTAAGGGGGCAGAGGGCAAGGGAGAATGTGTAACTACCCCTGAGCAATGAAAACCTTTGAGTTGTCACAGAAATTAATGCTCATTTTCAAAATAATCTTTCATGAAAAGTAAAAAAAAAAAAAAAAAAAATATTAAATTTCCATAATTCACATAAATGATAAAACCTTTTTCTATATGCGTTTATTTTCTCTGCTTGCTAGTCTCCTGGCTGTGATCAGGGACAATACAATGGCAGTTCAAGAGGAAAAAAAAAACAACTTGTGTTTTTCATATAATGTAGTCTACATTGCTCCACGTGTTTCTAAGTTTTTCTCATAACTTGCAAATGAAGCATTGAGACAGCTTGTTGTATAACTTAGGACAACGATTATTAAAGGCAGCTGATGTATCCTTCCAGAAATGTACAGGACATTTTAAAGTCAGACGTGGGCACATGGCACGAGCGCGTTAGGGATTACAGCTCGACGCACAGGCGTTAGCTGTACTTGGTGACGAAAGCTGGGCTGACAGAGACTACATAAATTGGATGGACCACAAGTGCAGCTGTGCAAATATGCATCTCATCTGCATATACACTTGTTGTAACTGCGCAAGCCTGCGTGGGCCTTATTTGTATCTGGAGGCCTAAAACCCCTAAATTCTCTAGTCAGAAAAACTATTCTGTATCTCATGTATTTAAACCAAAATATCATATAAAAAAGCTTTTCCTGATGTAGCCGTGAAACAACTTCACCACAGCCAATCCTAGCTCCTGCCTGTAGAGCAAGCTTTATTTCTGTTCCAGCCCCTCAGAATTGTCACTGCACAGGTGAAAAAGGAGCCAAAGCTATCAACACCAAGGCAGTTCCTTCCGATCACTTAAGAATCCAACAGTTTCACCATGGAGGAAATCACCGGAGAGGTGGACAAAGCCAAGAAAATGGACAAAGCCATTTGTTACATGTCACGTACGTCCCTTCCCAACCAAGGTTCTGGCCATCAGTCTGAACTGGTTACGTGCATGCTTTCTCAGGAGACTGCATCAGCTGTGACCCAAAGCTGAAGATATTTCTCCTCTACATTTAGATTGTGATAGTTGACAATTTAGATAATTTCACTGACATCTTCCATGGACAGATGCTGAGGTTTATGGTGGACAGCATTCACATATATTCTACAACTCTTGGTGCTGAAGAAGAAGGGAAGATACCAGTCTTAACGGATTTTTTTTCATGAGTTATGAAGGATATTCATATCCTCACATGGAGATACTCTGAGGAGAAGCCCACAATGGATGTAAAGCTCTTGTTAAAACTGAAGTAATTACCAACCTGATTATTTCAAAACCCCGTGGTAGTCACCTTTTGTTTCTCAACTAATGCTGTTCAAACTTCCTAAAACCATCTTCTCTCCTGCTGCTTGAGATATATTGTTAAAAGTTGTAGTAAGAATCAGATTGTTTCTGCCACAACTTTGCAAATGCCTTACTGACTCCCATGTACACTTGCAGTGTGAGGTTCCAGGAAGAAAACGCTTGCAGAGCTATTCTGCATGTCTCTCCTAAACCTCAGAAAAAGCACTGAGCATCTTCATCAACAGAAATGCAAGCAGCCAAACACCAGCACAACTGAGCGTAAGTCTTTGAATAGTCCAGGCCCACTCACTGTAATGTTTTGAGCCCAAAAGATAGCCCATTTGTCCAGAGCCTTTACCAGAAAGGCAGGAGGCACAATGCCATCCTAAATGGGAAGACGAACAGTGGTCTCCAGAAATTAATGCAGTGCCTCTCTGCTGCTGTTTACCATCTCAGAAGGGACAGATGGAACTCATCCTTTGCACACATTGGTTTTCCCTGTTCTTCCAGATCTTCACGAGTGGCGTTAGTCAGAAGTTGAAGGGAACACCATGCTCTCATAACATGGAAGCTCAGCCCAGAACTAACTCATAATGCTTACAAAGGATACATAGAGTTCCTTGCAATAAAACCGCCATCTAAACAGTCTGTTCTGCCAGAAGGGGCGGAATTCAACAACTACATGTAGGCATCTCCAAGGGTCTGCACCTGAATTAGTCATCCAGTGTCCCTTTTTAGTCCATGGAAAGACATAACCATTTCCAAGACACCATCTCATAGCAAAGTATATGTCTAGAACAGGTCAGAGAACTCTTTAACACTCAGGGTGCCTATTTCTCTTTCCTGATGGAACGGGAAACTGGTAGGACCAGCACACATGTGGGTTTCTGTATTAAAAAAAAAAACCCAACAACGTGAAATGGGCCAAGAGAAATCCTACATTACACAACACCCCAGATGATTCATGTTACCCACTACCCTCAGTGTTCTCCTAGTCTGGGCTTTGCAAATGCTAAGGTGGAGATAAAGAGAAACTTCAAGTACGACCTAAG